ATGTGTTACCTGGATAAACAGAGTGGGTGACCTCAAATTTGGTCCAAATCTACACTCCAGCACTTGATACACTTGATAATCATGTTAAATTCAAATAACTGAAACCAGCGTATAGATTATGATGTTGAACCTGATAGTGACAGGTTAACAGGTATTGTTTTGTTCATGAAATTGAGAGTTGGCTAAAGATCGCTTGCGGTCGTGTCTATAGCTAGTGCCCTATGCCTTGCTGCGAAGTTGGGCTCATTGCCAAAGCTTGCAAAGGCAGTAATGAGTTTATTTCATGTGAGCTGTGAAAGAGGCCGTCTCTGTCTCACAGGCACTCAAACAGAGCTGAGGCCCATAAACACAAAGTGCACTGTGTAAATCCCCATGGCCCACAGTCTCTCTGGCTGCGCTTTCTCCTCCTCTGCATCTCTTTATCAGTGAGCAGAGGGAGGTGAGACCCTACTTTACTACCCCCCTGACAGGACACTATGCCATGCTATGGTAAATGAAATAGCACTTTGATCATTCTATCATTCTGCTTTTAGATTATGTGTTATGACCACCTTATACAACCCATATGCAGCCAGATGTGATCCATAGAGTACTGGCGGCCAGGGATGTGTCCCAATGGTTCAATTCAATAAACAAGTTTGTTACAATACCTCAAAGTGGCTGCTTCTGACAGACAGATGGCACATTTCCTAATTCATCACAAGGGACATTCAGCAAGCAAACTTTAGTTTACTTTTAATTGATTTTATTTTAATTAATTATATTGGTATAAATGGTATGTTATGAAAACATTTTTCAAAAGCTATTTTACAATCATTGGCTATGTTTACATGCACTCCAAAATCTGCTCATTATCTGATTTCTCTATTGAAATGCCACGTCAGCAGTTCCATGTGATGAGTTATCTGGATTATCTCTGATCATTCACACCTAAACAGGCACTGAATTTGAAAATTATGCCAAAAAGAGCAAACTAATGGAGCAAAGATACAAATTAAAGAGAAAATGTTAAAGCATAAAATTTTTATTTCAGATGCAATAATTACTCTAAAAATGTCACCAGGTTTCAGGTATCAGATTTCTCTCGACCATCCAAACACACACAAAAATTTGACCTAATTATTGGATTACCAAATTTTTTTTTTTGGCCATGTATATGTATTCAGTGATGGTGATGAATGGGCTGGCTGAGGCGGCTGATAGTTTTGCTTCTGGTGGAATGAGCACACAGGTTCATTCTTTTGACATTTTCAAGATGCTGCTCGGTTACACAACTCAACATAAACTGAACTCTCCATTCTGTGTTATGAGGTATGACTTTGGATGAGAGCGGTGGATCAAATGTGGAGCTTGTTTATAAAACACATGGTTCAATGTAAACAGCAGCAGTTCAAAATAACCCTGTGTGCTGGAGTTTCTGTTTCGCTTTCCCCCTGATGAACCTTACATTTTTGATGACGTCAGCGATGTGACCCCCTTGTCGGTGTGCACTATGCTATACTAAACACTCCCCTCTGGTCGCTCTCCAAGTGCAGGTCAGCCCCTCTACACAAGGTGCCCGTGCAGTGGCGTGTCCTCAGAGGGCCCTCCAAACAGAGCTAGGTCAGCGCTGAAAGAAGCCAAAGGAAAAGTGCTTATACTTAATGCATTCCATGTGGTCCCTAGAAGCTTGTCTTTTACAGATTAGAAGCACTTTTTTCCGACTTGTTTATGTTATTGTGCTTTCATCTCAAAAAGGGAGGAAATCGGTGTCACGGTATTGAGCAGTGGGTTTAGATTTACTGTAGCAAAATTGGTGAGTAAATTGGTGAGAGCATAAATAATGAATGAAGAGTCGAAATGAGAAACAGGGGTGTGTGTGCGTGTGTGTGTGTGTGTGCGCGTGTGCGTGTGTTTGTGTATATATAAGATCATATTACGCAAAATTTACTCTTGTGAGCTGTAACATGCTATGTGGTTACCTCCTCAAAAACATACTTGGAGTTGTGTTCTATTTCATTCACACATGTTTGAATAACCATTTTTTTGTTCTGTCTACAGTTGTAAAGCTCAAAATGCTCTGTTACACCTTGTGATGTCATGAAGTGGTAGTTTTCAAGTTAACAGCTACCTTTACCTTTTTTGTTCAATCAAAATTGGCAATCACAGGGCCGAAAATTATCATAATGATTGCAGTGAAGGTGTCTGGTGTTTAAAAACACACTGGAGCAGCACAAAATAGTTTTGTATACAGTATCTGTCCGTTCTGATCTGTAATTTTAGTCATGTTGAGGGATTAGTATAGGGCTCACCATATAGTAATTTCTTTGGCTTGTTTCCAGATAGTATCTATAAGTGTAAGTGTGAGCTCGGTCCTTGCTTCCTCTCTCCTTCCCCCTAACCTCTTTCCCCTATAACTTGCGCTGTGAGACATTCTGGGCTGCATTTCTGTCCCTGTTTATACAAGAGATGCCACTGAATCACCACACGCTTAGCCCTGAACACAACAACCTGCTCATTAGTGCAAAGGTTGGGATACATGTAAAGACACACTCAGGCACACATACATCCTTGTTGTAGTGGAACAACACCAGGTCTTTGAATGTGAAAATAACACAGTATACATGGGAAATTCTAAATACAGGAACCATTGGCATGCAAAAAAAGTAATACTTATTCTTTAAATCAATAATATTCAGCCATTTTTATCCTTTAAATCAAATATAATACGATTGATTTAAGTCTTGACTCTTGACTAGAAGGTTTACTGCATTATTGCCATCATCTGACATCTGATATAAAGCGTTTCTACATTATTATAACGTTATTTTAATTTTGTGTGTATTCACTTCATGTTTCACACTCCTATCAGCACACCGACCACATTTGCTTTTTTTTTTTTAACATTCAATTTATGAACTACATCAGTAGATGGCACTGTTCCTACAGATGTTTAAGCTGTTGGGGGAGTACAAGTGAAGAGGGAGGCCTTGTTAGCTAGCTCAGTCTGATTGAAAATAGGCCTGCCTTGACTTAGCAATGGCCATCCATACAGCATATGAACCCTTCCAGATGAAAGACTTGTTTGTTGTTAATAGGTGGGCCAATTATTGCACCCCAGAGCATTCAAATCTCCTTCATCGCAAAGTCATTCTGCCTTGACAGGGCCTATGTGATGTGAACCAAGAAGACTATGCAGACTCAAATGCCACTATGATTATCACAATTAGGAGAGGTTGAGTATAAAGCATTCTGTTTGGCTTGAGGGTCAGATAGTGCTTTTTTCTCCTCCTGTGATGCAGATGAGTGTCCATGTGGGATAAGAGCAGACAGGGATCAATGGAGATCGCTGACTCCCGAGAATAGTCTGGTGTATATTCTGGACTGGGTCCGAGAAGGCTACTAATCCACAATGATTATGTAGTGCACTCTTTGCACTCAGCACCGTCTAGACGAACAATACACTGTGGTGCTCTGACATTGTCTGTTTTCAAAATGAAAAAGATGAACAATTCTGTGCAAAGATCACTGAAATGGAAAGATGTTGGTACATGCAGGTCTTATTTAAACAGCTTGCTCTATGGGGATGTTGCTAAGGCTACAATTTTTCGATTTTAATCAGAATTTTTGATTGTCAATGATATGTTTGGGTCTTTTTAATCAAGAGGTCTACTGCTAATCTTCTGTTGGATTATTATTGGCTCCATAAAACAACAGAATCAATATCAGAGAATCATAATTACTTTTATTTATGAATTAAACATTAAAGAACTATGAACTGTCTAAGGAGTTTTATGAAAGCAAACTTTCTGAATAATAAGGTAAGGTTAGCATGAGATAAATAACAGCACTATGTTTAGTTTTACTTTTACACAGATGACCATCTAGCAAAAAGCCTCCTGAAAAACTGAGACATGATTTCTTGGTCTCACAATGTTCTTGAATCAGAGCAGATGGCAGGTTTCGTGAAAACCTTCCTAATCACAACCTAAATTTCTATATATTTAGGCTACAGATGGAACTGAAAATTGTTACAGTTGTTATTTTTCAGTTCAATACAATCATATTATGACTTGAATATTAATCACAGTTACTACAGTTCTACTGAATAATCTTAACATCCCTAGCTTCACATGTTTTCATCAGCAAACTGAAAAGAAAAAACTATTAGTTTTTCTTTCTCTGCCTTTTTGGAGTATAGTAGAACTTAGTTTTTTGTTTAGACAGTGGCATTTCCTTTTCAGACCTTAAAAACAGAAATCCACTATTTAGCAGTTATTTTTGCCTGCTTGAGTTTTACAGATTTACAAATTAACCAAAGCTGTACAGATGCTGTTGCTTTGTGTATTGAGCATTAGCCAGGAAGGAATACAACACAGTAGTCTTTTCCCTCCTTACCTTTTCCGCTTTCCTTTTCCCTTCTCCACAAACAAGTGTTTACAACAGTTGCGGCATATATTTCAAAAACACTGCATTGATTTGTTTCAAAGATATTCAAATTTTAACAGGTGTCAGAATGTCACTCCCGACGTCGGAACAATAAAGTAGCATTGTGATTCAGCAAATACTATATGTTTTTACTAGACCCAGGGCCAGATGGAGTATGCTAATATTGTTTATTTTCTTTTGTTAGAGAAGTAGGTTACACATGGGTGTAGTGTGGCGTACGCTATAAAGACACAACTGAAAACAGAAACTTGTTTCATGTGTTTTTCAGTTATTTCTTTTCTAGTTGGAGTAAGCCTATCTAGTTCTATCCAGTAAGCCTGTCACACTGATAAACAATGTTATTCAAAAAAAAATGTGTGACAAAAAGCTCATCAGGTTTTGATTCCAAAATCAATTCTGTTTTAAACACATTCACACAAAAATATATCTCTTACCTGGACACATGTGACTATCATAAAAGTTGTAACTCCTTGGAGCAATTTCTCTTTTCAAACACCCTGCAAAACAATTTTCCACAATATTGGCCTATAGTATCAAATGTATCAATAATAATCTATGTATCTTTCTTCTAGCTCTAATGGAAATCCAAGTCCCAGATCAGCCCATGGTGGCCCTGTATGGGAGGGACACCATGCTAAACTGCACCTTCAGCGCAGAGAGCCCCTACAACCTGTCAGATGTGAGCGTGTTTTGGCAGCTGACAGACACCAAGCGCAGCGTTCACGGATTCAGTAATGGGCAGGACCAGCTGGAGGACCAGGCAGCCAGGTTTGCCAACCGCACCTACCTGTCTCCACAGAGGCTCCTTCAGGGGAGCGCCTCCTTGCTGCTCAGAGACGTGGTGGTGGCAGATGAGGGCAGCTACACCTGCTTTGTGAAGGTGCAGGATTATGGCAGTGCCGCTTTCTTTCTCCAGGTGGCAGGTGAGGAAGCTCTTTAGATGTCCTATGGTTTTATATGCACTTCTGAATTGCAGCATAGGCTGAAATGCTCTTTTCCATGTTACAGATTCAACTTGAAACATTTAAACTACTTTTCCTCTCCTGAACCCTCGGGGCTTACATTAAATATATTTTTATATTCCACACAAAATAGCTCTATTACATAAATACATTCTGATAATGCTGTCAATGTTAACATATTGATTTTGCTGAATTGCTAAGTGATGTAATTTTACTATCCATGCACAAGTGGCTAAAACACTATTGTACTGGAGGGCTGGGTGAAATTGCTGCGAGGGTTATAAAATGAGAATTTATTAGGATCAATTTAGTTTACAGACCCACAATTTATTCTACTGTAAATTAATTGAATCTAATGTGGACACAGCCAATAACAGAATGCAATAAAAGTCTATTATACAGTAGATGGTAATTCAGTGTAATTTCTTCCCCCGAGGTATACGCAGGTGCTCATCAGTTTTCCCTGGGCGACTGCTCTGTGTTTTAGTCAATAAAGGCTGATTGTGGTCTCTGTCATGGTCAGTATGTGCTGACTGTGATTATTAGCTGTTACGACCAATCAGCCATCACTAACAACCCTTCTGCTGCCTGCCTCACTGGAAGGCCTAACTTCACTGCCAGTGCGAATTTAATTATTTGTATCATAAAAGCAGTATACAGTTACTATATTTTTTGTGGATAGAAAAGCATTATGCACTACTAATGCGTACTTTTCCTCCCAGTTGGAGAAAGGAAAATTCCAACAGTGACAAATTGACTCCCTTTAATTCCTTAGATTATTGCTTTATTTTCAATCTAGACTTTTTCATTCATTTTGTTGCACTAAAATGAAATAATAATATGAATGGAATCAGGGCTGTCAGTCAAGTGGACAGTGGGGGGAGGTCAGTGTGTGCCAAGCCAAAGCCAGACGTCTGTACATTGAGCTTTTCAAAAGGCTGCTCGGGCTTATTCCATCTCACCCTTAGCCCCACCCTATTGTTTACTGTGCAGTGATTGGTTCTGGGAACTGAAGCCCGCTCCCTCCTCTCCACCTCTATACTCTTGTGTTTTAGCTTTGGGGATTGGAGTAGAGTGTTGCAAGCCAAGCCTGGTTCACCCCTAACCTCCATCCGGCTATCCTTTTCTCCTCACCGCCGTTTGTGTCCCCCCAGTGTATAGGCGGTTGTTTCTCTGGCTGCCTACCCAGCCTCACTATCTGCTTGCTGGGGAGTTGCTGGTTGTATTGGTCCTCCTGAGAATGTGGCATTAGTGTGTTGGAATACAACATAGGACGTGCCACATATGCAGTCTGCGGCTGAGGGATCTTAAACACTATGTTATGCTAAGCTTGCTAAATATAATTAAGAATTTAATGGAAATCATGTCATGCAGTTCCCAGGGTGACTCTTGGTGCAGAGAATACATTTAACATGGCTCTTTATTTGCCTCGTGGCTAAACACATGCAGTACACTGCAAACATTGTAGACAGGCAAAATAAAAGTGATACATTGAAAACAGAATGCAAGTTTTGATTATGGTTTAATTTTTGAAAGGTCAAAACTGTGTTAAACATGTCAGCGATTGTATCCAGGTGTTCTCTGCTAATTTAAATCCAATTGAAGATAGTAAAGTCACTTGCTAACTTACTTCTAGGAGTTCTATAAGTGAAGTTTTCTTTAACAAAAATAAGGGTTTTATAGTTCACTTCACAACATTTACTACATCTGGGTTGAAAAGGATTTCAAAACTGCACTCTGGTTGCCCGCTTTTTCAGATAGGTTGCCTCTACAACAGTGAATATCCTTTTGTTTTATTTGAGTTATTTTTGCCACTTGATGTCCTATAAGAAATATCTTACACATTTGCATTTACATTTTTCCAGCTCCCTACTCCCAGCCAGTGGTGACTTTGGAGCCAAATTTTAACCATCGGCCTGGGGACGAGGTAGCACTGACCTGTGTGGCCTATGGTGGATACCCCCAGGCTAAAGTTGTATGGCGCAATGAGGGTGGACACAACTTGACTGAAAACATCACAACTTCACATGTAGCCAATGAAAAAGGGCTATTCAGTCTCACCAGCGTTCTGACTGTGGTCCTGGAGCCCAGCAGCACCTACAGCTGTCAGCTTATCAATCCACTGCTCGGTGAGGAGGGCAAGGCCTTTGTCTCCATCTCAGGTGAGCGCGACACCATTAATCTTCTCTACTATAAACAGCTTTCGGGCCCTTCAGTCAGGACTGTGCCTTTCACTCTGATGGGAAAATAAACACCTTAATATTCAGTGACATTGTGTCTGCACTTTGTAGCACAAACTAATCTTGTTTTTGCTCATGCGTGGCCTTCTTTCTTATTAAAAGTCTTGTATGCATTTGTTAATCTTCCTACCAGTTAAATTTTCTTCTGTCATATCAAGATTATCTTAGACTTTGTGTTACCAGAAATAATAGACAAGTAAAAATTAAATGTACTACAATGTTTGTTTACAGTTTATCAGTTAATCGTAGCCCACTATTTTCTTGTGCGTTGTTGTTTTACATGTGCCAGTTTACAAGAGTGTATACAAATTTACATGTTCTATTGAATCTCAAGCACCACCAGATTATATCTGTGGCTATAGTGTCATGTGAGCTGCTGTCTATAAATTTGATTGATTTATTTCTATTTATTATTTCTACCTTTTATTTAACCAGGAATTCTCTGATTCAGAATGTTTTAGAATACAATTTTTTTTCCTCTGACTTATTTTTCATGATATACTCCTCTCATATGTTTCCGCCAGTAAATTAAAAAAATGAAAGCTTCACAGAAAGTCATAATTATAAGTTTAAAAGTCATAATTATGACTTCTTGAGGCTTATATTTTTTATTTATTGGAGGAAATGGCCTTCCATACATATTTCTATGCTCTCATGATATTCTCCTCTCAATGTTTGAACACAGAAAGATTAATTAGCACGGTCAGTGAATAAACATTTTATTTTTTTCATAGTTGCTGTGGAGAATTTGAAGTATTCCTTCAACCAGTCTCCGCCCACTTCTCATGTCCCTTTGACTCTGCTGCTATGGCACCTTTGTGTTAAGTGCAGAGAGCACACTGTGTAAGTTGGACCAAGGCTGGCTGTCAGATAGGAGCAGCACTGTGTGAAATGGCTCATAAATAAGTAGAGGTACCCTAGCCCACTCTCCCCTGGCTGGGCTGGTTCCGAATCCAGGGTCCTTGGAGGTGGAGGTCGAGCCAGAGGTCAGAGAGAGCTGCTCCACTGGGCTGGCAAATGACTGTGCTGTCTGGAAACGGGATGCTCGATTGGCAGGGCAGGCTGGTTGAAGGTGGCCACTCTAACAGTTTGACTTTTTCAAAACACCACTGATAAGCAGTTGGGGGATGTTCGGAAAGTGGAAAGGAATTAAATAGGTGGAGACAGGGAAATGACACTGAAGGAGTAGTTTAAAAACAGACCTCAGCTTGTGTTACCTTCGACTCTGCTCCACTACTGTAATATGCTATTTCATGTGGCGCAAAATTTTACAAATGACATCTCAGATTCATTTTGATCCAATGCTGAGTGAGGCAAGCTCAGTTAGTAATGAAGATGGATAAGCATTTTTATTCAATTTGCTGAAATACATGGACAATGATGTTATAAACTTTCCTCATGTTGAACTTCCCGAGAGCAAAGGGGCACAAACAGATCCATGAGGTGAGCCATGAGAGAGACATGGTACAGTTTTGTCTTTATATGAAAAGTTGTATGTACTAAAGCTACAAGAAGAACAACGTAAACACACAGTATTTCAGGTGGCAGTGATACAAGAGAGTTGTTTGAAATGAAAATGTATTTTTGCATTTGTTTACAACAGCTGGTGTATGCTTCTGTAATTAATTTTGACCTAGCCTAGCAGAACTCCTCTGTTAGAGTGCTGAGCTGCTTGCTGTATTCTCTTCTAATCACTCCACACAATACTTCAGCAGTGAAGAATCCATCTTAAAGGGTAGTGAAACCTGCTTTAAGTTTTAAATGAGCGAGAAAAGTCATGAGGAAGAATGATCGTGACTGTGAGGTGAGGGAGTAAACGAGAGGCTTCAAATTTTACACCCTTTTCAATGTCGAATTGAAAAATTATAATAGCAATACAAATCTCCTCTGGGCAGAGTTTGACGAGGTTAATTTTGAGAAAATGAACCTTGTACTCACGTAGAGCACAGCCACATTGTGAGCTAGAGTACACTGCATTTAGTGTTCTATCAAAGTACTCTGTTAATCTGTCTCTTCTCCTTTGTAGTCTATACCAGTATGAGATTGTCTAATATGCACTGTGAGTGCACCTCAGACTTGTGAAAACACTGCCCATGAATTCCAACTATACTCTGACTGAAAAACAATTTATAGCTGAAATACTTGTACTTTAGCCAAGGGTAGCATGCCTAGTTGAAGAAACATCCATAGAAACAGCTGGCATTAATGAAGACTTCAGTGATGGAAGAAGCCACTTCAATCCTCAAATGAACCGTGGCCTGTCGGTGAGGCCAGCCGGCATGCTTGTGTACCACTCCTACACCCCTCCTCTGCTTGTCCTCACACTCCCAGCCAATTCAGACCACTTTGTTCGCCTCTGAAAGAATAATGTTTTGGACTTTTCAGGATAAAGATTGTATATCCTATCATTCTTAACTGATCCTCCTCTGATAGTGCAGCTTTAGCATTGTATCCCATCTCACGGGTGGCGTGATTGCTTCACAGTGTTGGATGATGGCTGTGTTTCAATAGCTGTCACCAGACCCCCCCCTCAGAACCACCCCCATGCTGTCTGCCTGCGCTCAGTGAGGATGGTGCCATTTCCCCATGACTCTGCTGGCACAGCACTTCCAGTAAGCACTGTGGATGGAGATAGATGGAGTGGGCAAAGACAGAAGATGAGACCAGCAGATAGAGGCGAGGGGCTTAGGAGGCAGAGAAGCAGATGACAGAAAGTAAGATTGAAAAGGAAATGTTTGCTGATCTCAAAGATGTTTGATGGTAGATAGACTTAATTATGCTGTTGGGAATTTACAAGTCAACACAGTAGTTAGCATATTCAGCAGTGACAGGGCTCAGTAGTTTGAATATTGCTCTTGTTTTCTCATTCCTTAGCCTTTCACACAGTCTCCAGTTATGTGGCAGAATTACCAGGGTCTAACATTCACTATGACACTATAACTACTACTAACTATAAGACCATCCAAGCTTTGCACAGCAGAAAAATTAAAGTTAGAATAGCATTTTAAGCATATGTGCTTTTCACATTCTCCTAGCATCAATAACAAATTGCAGTGCTGTTCCTTGTTCTTCACTAAACAAGATCTTGTTTAAATGCAATTAACTAGGCCTTTGGAGAAGCAGAAAACAGCGGTATAAATGAATGCGTTGTCTGTGGAGCAGCAAGCAGGCAACATCCCAGTGGAGCTCTGTATTAATTAGTGTCCAGTGTACAAACAGGCCTTCTTCTTCTTCTTACTCCTCCTGCTGAATCTGTGCAAATGTCTTTTCAGAAAGTCAGCCGGGGAAAACAATCAAATAGACAGATGATGTAATGTGTGCTATCTCAAATAAATTCAGGGGAGCAGCAACAGCATTATTGTAAGCATATTATTTCATATCAGGATTATTCACTGTCAGGAGAGATGTGAACAAGCCTGAACACTATGCACGCTGAGTGAGTGTTGTACTCTAAATACAGATGTTTTGCCAGGTTAGATGAGTACAGACTTTTGTAATGATTTTGTATGACGTGTGTTGTTGTATGCAAGACTGACTTAATCAATCCTCATGCTTCTTGTCACAAAACAATACTTCTACATCTTAATTCCTGTTCGCCGCCTGCTTAAATCCATCTTGAGCTGTCCTCCCTCGCCTTCCCTTTTTAGGACACTGTATTTATAGCAGCCATAAAGGCACAAAAGCGGCTCTATTGTAATTGATTGCGTTCAGTTTGGTTTGGACTCACAGAAAGGACCATCTCCCATGCCGTGCCCAGCAGTGTACATTTCACACAACTCCTGCTAAATCCTCTAAGAGCAATTGGTTTAGGGGGGCCTGGCACCAGTCCTGCCTCACTGATATGAAATCATATTAGTCGCAGCGGTTGTGAGAATAGCCTCCGACAAAGGCCCGGGCACACCTTCAAATTTGCCTGTTTAATTATTCACACTATTTATTTGTTGTTTAAAACCTTACACCTGATAACAGCATGAGTTATTGTTTCGCAGAAGGGTGTTTGCAACCTCAGTAAATTGCTTTGTTTTGTGCATGCAACAGTTCAAATTGCTAGCTGGCTATAGACAAAAGCATTGTCAGGCAGTATTATGCATTTTCAATTAGAACTTGTTAAGAGATTGTCCTTTATCTCTAAATAGGAAGCTTTTTTCCTGGAAAGGTCCACAGACTAATTGATTAACAAGTGTGAAATGGCAATAAAGGGCTGTGGTGTGGTCCCTGGAGAGCAAAGTTTATGAATAACTATGTCCTTTTCTTCTACATAGTTCTACTAAAATAATTTTCATGTACACATCCTAAAATGTTTGTAGTTTTGAAAGACTTGAAATACTAGAACCACTACCATAGTCCCCAAGTTTATTAATGTGAAATATACATATCGCCTGCTTTGTGAGTTTGAATTCCAATTCTGACATTTTGAATAATATTGTGCTGCCCTCCCCATTAGGGTTAGTCTCTACTTAAAAAATAAATACTAGTAGTAGATTTACATACACTGTATATACACTTAATTAAAGTGTCCATTACAATTAACCCATATTAGTTTGTTATCTATGCAGTTTGAATGGATGACTTCATTCCCTCTGAGACACCATATCCTTCAAGCTGCATTAATATCTGTAGCCAGTCATGTCTCACCAGAGCCTGACAACTCCCAGCTTATTACAGACTGACTGTCCACAAGGAAACAAACTGGCTCTTCTTACCTTATTAATATTGTCAACTATGCTTAATTTGATCAGTGCTGTTAGTGCATCTCTCCGTCGACATTGCAGACAGCTCAGTGACCCACAGCACCACCAGACTCTGTCATATCTGTAATGCGTCTGTCTTCGAGCTCTTCAGCTATTTACCCCAGCAGATGAAGACTGATGTCATGTGTAATGTCCATTCGTTTGCCTGATGCACTTGTTACTGGGGTCAAG